AAGAAGCCTGAAGACTGGGATGATGAAATGGATGGAGAGTGGGAGCCACCCATGATCGATAATCCTGAGTACAAGGGAGAATGGAAGCCAAAGCAGATCAAAAATCCCGCCTACAAAGGAAAATGGATTCATCCCGAAATCGACAACCCAGAGTACACTCCTGATGATGAGCTCTACTTGTACAAAGATTGGGGAGCAATCGGTTTTGATCTTTGGCAAGTAAAATCTGGCACAATCTTTGACAACATAATCGTCACTGACTCCGTCGAAGAGGCCAAGGCTCATGCAGCAGAGACATTCGAGAAGTTGAAGACGGCTGAGAAGGAAAAGAAGGAGAAAGCCGACGAAGAAGAGAGGAAGAAGTTGGAAGAAGAAGCCAAGAAGAGAGAGGAGGAAGAGAAGAAGAAGAAGGAGGAGAAGGAAGAAGAAGAGAAGGAAGAGGAAGAAGAGAAGGCGGAAGAAGCTCACGAAGAATTATAAATTTTGCCAAGCTCCGTTGTTTCGGGTCGGGTGACCACTATCACGATTTGTGGATTCTGGTCTCGTTTCTAGCCCTTTTTGTTTGAGTTGTTGTTTTTTATTGATTATTATCATGTTTTGCTTCACCAATTCATAAGGTGTCGTGGTTGGGTTTGTTTTTATATGAGAGTATCTCGACACCCTGCCTCGTACTGCTTTCTCATTGGTTGAAATGTGTTATAATAAATTATTTATATGTAATAGAAATTTGAATCCGCCTTGCACATCTTCTCTAAAAAAAATTTTTGTCATTTGTTATGCATTATAGCAGTTGATTGTGTTCGAGAGGAAGAATACATTATCTCAAAAGTTTGTTGACCTCATCAGTAAACTAACACTTCCAAATGCCAGTTGCCAGTTTGCGCTACGCTTCTACGGAGGTGATGAAGTTCAATCTCTCTTTCAGCGTTCAAACGTGGAGGGACGCTTAGACAGATTTCGTCCTACTGATTAGTTGTAAAGTTTTGGACGCTAAGTACAAAGTGTCCAAGTACAAGTAACAAAATGACTGAGTTTTCGCTGCTCAATGCTCGGACATTCTCTTCATGCATAACCGCCCTGCGGCATGATGATGCGCGTTTTGAATGTTTTAAAACGTCTGGCTACGAAGCACCTTCGACACTGCAGAGGCACACAAGTCGTAACAGAACGTTGACGTAGAAATCTCAGATTTGGAACAGTAGAATTTGGTGTTTGTGATTTTTGATATCGGAATTTCAAGTACATCGAGCACTGTGAAGTACTTATAGGATTAATTTCGTGAACGTTGTGCAATTTTGGAGAAAACGCCAAGGGGTAGGGGACTATATGTCGCACCGCCGGACATCTGCAACAAATACACATTTCAATGCACAAGCTGAGTATCTGCTGCATTGTCTGGGGACCCTCCCGCTTTCGGCGACATATATCCTCCACTCGAAGCCAAGGTATGGTCGGTCGGCAGTCAATGATGACCATATCAATTTGAGCAAAGAGTACCCCTAGGAAGTGAGAAAGCCGCCCTCATCATCGTCGTGCAGCTGGCTGCTGGTGCCCAGCGCCGGTATGACGGAATTTTGGCGCTATCAAAAGCTTCGCATAGTCTGCAAAAGGTTAAAACGAACTACATGCTACTTTCCGAAATCTAGCTCGTTCTAGATCTGATTCACCTTCATAAAGGCTGTTTGCTCAGTGTTTCTAATAAGCGAAAGGGCATGGTGGTGTCTCCGTAAAGAAGTATAGCAGCCCCCGGATTATAAGAGAACATGTATCAGAGAATTTTGTCTAATATGTGAAATCACTCTCTGATTACTTCTTATGTTTGATTAGCGTTTGCAGTTCAACTCTTAGCCTTGCTCTACAAATTTGCTCTCAGTTGTATAGGCCGCTGCATGACGAGGGCACTTTACCTTTGGGCGCGAACGCGGCTTTATTAGCCGCAGA